GACCTAACCATTCATTGCCTACAGTAAATGAACCTGTTGCCAAAGAATGACTTAAAGTAAAAGTCATTACTTTTGGAAACCAAGGGTAAACAAATGTAGCTATACTAATCTCTGACAAAGCAGACTTCCTAGCAAGATTAATTGGAAGAGATGAAGGTCACTTCATATTGAAAAAGGGAATGACCCTTCAAAATGGTGTAATACTTGTAAATACATGCATGCCAGATGTCAGCACACACTTTCATAAAACAAAGAGCACTGGAGTGCTTTTATAAGCACTGAGTAGATTGCAACACAGTAATAGGGGATGATCTCAATATCCCACTATCACCAATACATATGTCAACAAGACAAAATTAAACAAAGAAATTTAAAAATTAAGTGATACTATAGACCAAAAGATGTAACAGAATATTTCATACAACAGCTGTAGAATACACTTTCTTCTCAGTAGCTCATGTATCTTTCTTCAAAATAGGGCATATTTTAGGATATCATGCAAGTCTTAACAAACATACAAATATAAAAAATAACCTCCTGTATTTTAACAGATCATAATAAATAATGAATAAAACTAGAAATCAACAATAAAAGTAATCATAGAAGATATCCAAACACCTGGAGATTAAACAATACACTACTGAATAAGCAATGGTTTGTCAGAGGGAAAAAAAAGGTGAAATTGAAAAAAATTCCTAGAATCCAAAGAAAAGGAAACACAGTTTGGAATATTTCATATATAATGTTATTATATAATATATAATTGTAGTATGTTGTTAATTATTATAAATAATCATGCTTCATATAATATGTTGCATATTTTATATTATATATGTATGTGTAGTAATCCTATATAGGATTATTATTCGTCTGTAAAGAATAGAAAGAATAGTGAAATTATGTCATTTGCTGGGAAATGAATGAAATTGGAAATCACCAAGTTAAGCAAAATAAGCCAGACTCAGAAAGATAAAAAGGGAATGTTTTCTCACATGACAGTCTAGACCTTAAAAAATGAAACAAAGTGACAGAAATATAAAGTGGGGACTCTCAGGGAGGAACCATTTAAAGGGAAGAGGGCAAAAGGATAGTGTTATGGGGGATGAGTATGATCAATGTAGTTTACAGGCATGTATGAAAATAGAATAATGAAACCCATTAAATAGTGTTAAAAGGAAAGGCAAGAGCAGTTAGAAAGAGTAATAGAGAAGGTCATACTACAGAAGTATCACATTGAAACTCCTTGGTACATGTAATATAATTTTTAATTAGCAAAGTGCATTGTATGTACGGGTATAAATATCAATAAACCCATTATTTTGCAGAATAAAAATAATAATTATAAAACAATAATTAGTGCAGATGTGCTATAACTGCAAAGGAAAAAAATGTTCATCTCCTGGTAGCTGAAACTTTAAGAGTGGGTGTTGCCAAGAAGTGAAGAGAGTAGGAATGGGAGGAACGAATTGGGAAAGTCCCTTTGGTGGATCCTAAGTTACAGTTAAATAAAAGCAAGAAGCTCTTCCGTGTTATTGCAAAGTAGGGTGACTATAGATAACAATGACATACTGTATTTTTCTAAAACCTAGACAGATTTTGAAAGATTTTCAAAAAATTTAAAAGTGTTCACCATAAAGAAATGATAAATGTTTGAGGAAATAAACATGCTAATGTGATTTCTACAGTAAAAAATGTATACATGTATAGAAACTTCTTGTGGTACTCTGGTAATGTGTATATTTTTATTTGTCAATTGAAAATGAATTAATTTTTTAAAATTAGTAAACAGCCTAATCCCTACAGGCATCTTAATTGCTTCTTCCTTAGGAAAGCAGGATGAGGAGCACCAGATACTCTCACAGGGGAAATCTCCAGAGCCCTCCAAGTCTCTATAATTCTCTCCATGTCCCCATATATTGGCCTCTGAAATTGACATGACTCAACAGCACATCATTTTAGAAAGGACACATGGCATGCCATTCTCCTTGGATATCATGTTGTCATCTGGATGATGATCATTGTAAGTAGATACAGGATGAGAATTTGCTATGAGCCTTTATCCATAGACAGGGAAAGCATTCAAAGATAAAAATCACATTGGTGAACTTTTAAATGATAACCACATGAGTTATTTTATAAAATTCTTTTATTCATTATTTACAGACACAGTCTGTGAATTATGTGAGATAACCTTGTCATGTATATCTTAAAAATAAGGATGAAGTAAGTGACTTCCAAATGCACAGAAAGAATTAACAATATATTTGGAATCTGATCCATGTTAATGTCCTTTTCTCTATTTTTCCCTTGTCAATGTTGAAACCTTGCAACCACTATCTTGGAAGGTGCTCCTCTAAAAGTAGTTATGCAACATTTCATGGCTGATTTTATTATTTCAAACTCACCATTCTAGATTAATTGTTCTTTCTATTGAAGGAAACATTTAAGTGAGAAGTATAACACATGTAAAAGTAGGGGCCACCTATACTACTACACTCATTCTATTTTCAGGGACCTGAAAATAGAATTATCTTTTTATAAACCATTCTAAAATGCTGAGGCAATAAATATTAGCATCACTTATAATGTCTAAATGTCTATCATAGGAGTTTTAATGATTCATAAATAAATAATTCATCTTCTGAAAAAAAAAAAGAAAGAACCAAAAACAGGATAGCTGATACTTTGATTGATAATGTGACTTTGCCTTATTCACTATATACTTGTATCTCATCAGAGATAAGGAATCAAACAAAAACAAAAACCCAGGATAGTGAAATGATCCTTTTCAAAACTTCAAAGTCTCCTAAATGGATTAAGTGCCCTAAACTACGTGTCAACCTATTTGCCATTATCTCATGCTTATTCTTGGAAGGTATCTTTAATTCTTGAATGTGGAGTTTTTCTCACAACTTACATAATTTTAGATGATTATACTTCTCAAATAGTTTCATTATTAATAGACTAATAATAATAATACTACCTATCTTACATATACTCCAAATACATATATATATACATATATATATATATATATATATATATATACACGCACACATAATTTATGTATCATAAGTTGTAAAACAGTACATGCTAACAGTGACCATGTGTGTTAGGACTGGAAGCCACTATGTCTTAGGGCACGCTCATAAATTAAAGTTGCAATAGCTTAGGAGAAAGATGGTAGGAGATATTAGATAGGTTTAGATGGATATCATTCCAAAGCTTTCAATTAAAATAAAGAAATTTTAATAGTGTTACTACATAAGAATAGATTCAAATAAAACATTTTTCAATGCAGAACATGCCACCAAAACAAATCCGTGAAGTAAAGAAAGCTGAAAAACATTAACAACCTCCAAGGCTTTCTTTGATTTGGCTATGTCAACAAACTAACAAGAGAAAGAAAGAGATTTAAGGACAATGGACTCTATGAATTCCAAGGATGAATTGGCTTAAAGACTGGCTGGATGGAATTGCAAGAGAAATATTCAGACATTTGGAGTAAAGACAGACTAGGAAACAGAGAGCACCAAAATTTGAATGAGCATTCACACTCAACCATAACTGAGTCCCTGGATATCAGAATTGACCTTGATCAAAATATGAAGATTATTATACCACCCTAAATGACATGATAGTAAATACCCATTAGACCGTGCTTAACAGAAAGAATTTTATCATCTTTCATGTGTTATCCTATTTAATTCTCATAACAACACCTCAAAGTAAATCTTGTTACCAGATTTATGTAGCAGGTGGAAATATGAAATTTACAGAAATTAGATTAGCAACAATGTTCCAGGGTAGGTAGTAAAAGATAGGACTGATATGGGTTACTTTCCAAGATCCTTGGCTCTATGTCTGCTAAATATGATGACATGCATTCATTCAAAATTGCCTATGCGTGACTGAAGTTGTGGCTCAGGTGGTAGACCACTTGCCTAGCAAGCATAGGGCTTGAGTTCAAACTCTGGTACTGCCAAAGAATATTGCCTATGCAAGTCGCACATGCTTTCCACCCCAGTAATCTACCACCACCACTATTCATACAGATGTGCTAGGACATATCAAAGATACACCATCTTAATCCCAATCAAAAGTTTATGGATTTAAAACTAACCATATCAATATATATATGGATGTTCTTTAATAACAATCAAGTGAACCTAGGGTAGGGAAATTAAAAATACAATTCAGAGCTTGCTAATTTTTTAGGATTTTTGTCATTGAAAGTGGGATTATTTCTATTTTCTAGATGTTTGTTTGTTTTAACCTCCAAAGTCATGTAAATAGATCATGAGAAAAATGAAATTACACCCAATCAATCACTCCATTAGCTCAATGTGAAACCCCACACTGAATATGAGCCAAAGGAAGCAATGAATTATTATAAATGTGGTTAAATTCAACTTGATTTAAATATAGTTTAGATCCTGAGATTTAGGAATCACTCAAACTGAGTTAAAAATTGGCATAGGTTTGGAATAGGGATTGCCATTTTAAAAGTGTACAAATATGATTTAATTATTCAACCTCTTCAGTTTAATAATTTTCATGAAGGTAATAGCCAATCAAAATTATAATATTGAAGAAAATAGTGAATTCCCAATGAAATTCTTTATAGCATTTCTGAAAAGTGAGCAAAAAGAAAATGTCAAGTTTTGCTGTGTTCAACAGAAGTGAATTGGCAGATAGATACATCCAGGGAAGTCATTTTCATCAGGTGATTACATTGTCTACATCTCAGACAACAAGGATGTAAAATTTTTAAATTGTGATTTGTTAATATTTCTCAGATTTGACAGTGTGTAACTTTGTACATAATTGATGCACTCAATTTAATTCTAATTCTCATAGTTATTTTGTGGAACCTAGAATTACAAGTTATAGAGACAATGAAAGAACACATCTTGTATTTTCCTATTTTAATTTAGTTTTTAATCATTCTGTTTCCTTTTTCTCACAGCTGCAGAGCATCTCAAGATTCTGGGATAATATTAATGGAAAATAGGACAGACATGACACAGTTCATCCTGTTGGGACTGACCAGTGACCCTGACCTACAGGTTCCCCTCTTTATCACCTTCCTCTTCATCTACCTCATCACCGTGGTTGGAAACCTGGGGATGATCATTTTGATTCTCTTGGACTCTCAGCTCCACACTCCCATGTACATTTTCCTTGGTAACCTTTCCCTGGCAGATTTTTGTTACTCTTCAGCTGTCACTCCAAAGGTCATGACTGGGCTCCTTTTGGGGGACAAGGTCATTTCCTATAATTCTTGTGCTGCTCAGATGTTCTTTTTCTCAGCCTTTGGTACAGTGGAAAATTATCTCTTGGCCTCAATGGCCTATGACCGCTATGCAGCAGTATGTAAGCCCCTGCATTATACCATCACCATGACAACAAGTGTGTGCGTTTGGCTAATCACAGGCTCTTATGTCATTAGTTTCCTGAATGCGTCCATCCACATTGGGGACACATTCAGTCTCTCATTCTGTAAATCCAATATGGTCCATCATTTTTTCTGTGAAATTCCAGCAGTCATGGTTCTCTCTTGCTCTGATAGAAAGGTTAGTGAAGCAATTCTTCTGTATGTTGTGAGCTTTAATGTCTTTTTTGCTCTTCTTGTTATCGGGGTGTCCTACATGTTCATCTTTATTACCATCCTAAAGATGCACTCAGCTGTAGGACTTCAAAAGGCTGTGTCCACCTGTGCCTCCCACTTCACTGCGGTCTCCATTTTCTATGGGACTGTTATCTTCATGTATTTACAGCCCATCTCCACTCACTCCATGAATAATGACAAAATTGCAGCTGTGTTTTATACTATGATCATCCCCATGCTGAACCCCATGGTCTACAGCCTCAGGAACAAGGAGGTCAAGAATGCATTATTAAAGCTCAAGAGTGCATTGATGTTTTGGAGGCAAAATATTCTGTAGAATTTTTGTTTTCACTTTGTGGGATATATAATTCCTTTATTTATAACCCTCAGATCTGCATGTGCTGAGTTACATCGAATGTCTACAATAAAGTTAAATTCTTTTCCTGTTCAAATTTGTGTTGTCTGGGAAAAAGTAAACATAATGTACAGAAATAAATACCAAAATTATAGTGGTTAAGATATCTTGGAATAAGGTTTCCAAAAACAAACAAACAAAAAGAATAATTTTTATGTGTTTTTTTTCTATGACATGTCAATGCAAATATAAGTAAAATAGTGCCACGATGCAAATCATGAACAGAGGAATGCATGTGGGTGTGAAGTGATATCACATACAGAGTGAAGCAAACTTTCCAGAATTATATGTAATATGGCTACTTGTGGTGGTTAATTTTGTGTGTTAATTTGACTGGATTAATGGATACCCAGGTAGATGGCAAAACATTTTTCCATATGTGCCTGTTAAGGTATTAGCAAAAGTCTGAAAGTTTAGTATTTTCAGCAGAGGACCTAATAAAGATCTACCTTCATCAGTGTGAATGGTCATCATCCAATCAGATGAGACCTTACACAAATAGAACAGGGAGTGGAGAAAGGGAAATTTCTCTGTGTCTCTGTCTTCTCTCTCTCTCTCGCCAGGACATCCATCTTCTTTCACTCTTTAATGTAGATATTCAGATTTTTGCCTGACTCTTGGGTCTTTGGTCTCCCAAACTCACACTAGCCATACCTCCCCTCCCTTCTCTGACTTCAAATTCATACTGAATTAACCACCCTCTTTCCTTAATCTCCAGCTTGTAGGCAGCACATCAAGGGGTTTCTCAACCTGCATAACCATGAGCCCATAAACATAATAAATCTCCTTCATACATGAATGTGTGTAAGTACATATTATATTATATAATATTATATTATATTATATTACATATCTTATTGATTCTGTTTCACTGGAGGACCCCAACTAATAAAATACTTGATAATCATAATTTGTATTTCATCTGAGTATTAGAATACAAATTTTCTAATTTCCTTACTCTTTCACTACTATTGTAAGAGTTCAATTTTGGAGAAGTGATGTCTCATTTAGTGGCAAGTGATACCCATAAAAGTATAATGTCATAATTCATAAAGAAACATTAAATCTAAAATTATTTAGAGAATTCCTATCTTGCTATGCTAGCATAATTACAACTAAACATAAATTATAGAATTTACAAATAATTATGAATTTCTGTGTAGAATTGAAACAGGACAATATTTGTTACAGGAAAACATAAGTTACACTCAACATGCTAATATGAAATTCATTATTCATGTTTTTGCTTTTGATCTTCAAGGAGTTCAATACTATACAAAATCTACTCACAGGAATATGTGTCCATGTCTAACCTGTTATCACTAGAAAATAGAAAGTTTCAATACCTCACACTTGTATGTGCTAAGGGCTTGAATGTACTGAGATGTTAATGCTGTTCCTTGAGGGATAGTGTACTCACATCTCTATTTATGGTGACAGTTCTCTTACTTTTAATAATTATGTAATTTTATCAACATATTTTAAGGATAGTTTTGTTGAATATAGCTAATTTGTCAGATTTGGGGCTTTTGTTTTTATTAAAAACTTAAATATGTCACCATACCACATTTTATGGTTTCTTTTTAATTTTATTTATTATTTATTTATTTATTTTGTGGTACTGGGGCATGAACTCATGGCCTTCACCTTGAGCCACTCCATCAGCCCTATTTTTGTGAAGGGTTTTTCAAACTCATGAGCTATTTTCCCAGGCTGGCTTCAAATCTAGATCCTCCTGATCTCTGCCTCCTTAGTAGCTAGGATTACAGGTGTGAGCCACCAGTGCCTGGCCATGTCATGGTTTCCTGATGAGAAATTCTGAAGAGGAATCTCTTTTGGATGTAACAAGGTGGTTGGGTTTTTTTTTTCTTTTTCATTAGCATAAATTACTTCTATATAGGGGTTCATTGTGATATTTACATACCTGCATATAATGCACTTTGATCAAATTCACCCTCTACTACTTTCAGAACTGTCTGGTCAATTTATCTGCCTATTTATTAGTTGGTTATTTATTCTTTTGATGTTTACTTTTTAGCATTTTATGTATTCTGCCTGTTAAGCCTTTGTCAGAGGAATACCTTGCAAAGATTTTCTCCCATTCTGTAGGTTGTCTCTTCATTCTGGTAATTGTTTCCATTGATGTGGAGAAACTTTTTAATTTGATATGATCCATTTATCCATTTGTTGTTGTGGTGGTGGTGGTAGTACTGGCAGTGGTTTGGAGATACTGAGGTTTTTTATGTTTTGGCTTTGTTTTTATTTTAGTAAAACACAAACAACATAAAATTTACCATCTTAATTATTTTTAAGTATACAGTTCACTGGTGTTAAGTACATTCACATTGTTGTGCAGGCATCCATCTCCAAAACTCTTTCTATCTTAGAAAATTGTAACTCTAAAATTATTGATTAATAACTCCCTATTTCCTGCACCACCAACCCCAGCCAGTCACTACTATACATTATTTCTTTATGATTTTGATTATTCTAGATTCCTCATATGAGTGAAATTATATACTATTCGTCTTTTTGTTACTGATTTGTTTCTTTTTTATTGTGCTGAGTGGGGGTACATTGTAGCATTTACAAAGGTTCATACAATGTATCAAACATATACTTGAATTCAACCCCTCCACTGCTCTTGTTCATCCTCCCCCAATTCCTGGAACAGTTTCAACATATTTTGCATTTACATACATGTGTATACATTATTTTCACCATATTCATCCTCCTGCCCCTTTCCCTACCACCTCCCTCCTCCCAGCAGTGCAGTCCCCCTGTCCCCACACAACCTATTCCGCCCTCTTGTTCTCTGATTGTGTACAAGAAAAAACAAAAGATAAAAAGAGAAACATATTGTTTTTGCTAGTTTGAGATAAAGATAACTACACAGGGAGTTTCCTTGTGTTGTTTCCATGCATATATGTATTACAACCCCAATTGGTTCATCTCTACTAGTACTCTTCAGTCCTCCTTAGTACACTTCCCATGGTGGCACTTGTCAGTTTAAGATTTCTATATTCACTACTGTACAGTGAGCACATCAACCTCATTCAAGTTTTTGGTTTCTTTCCCTTGCTCTGTCCCTTCTGTGGGCAGCCTTCCCTCATTGTTACTTATATTTCATAATAGTGTTGCATATGCTTTAGGTCTATATTCCACATATCAGGAGAACATGCAGCCTTTGGCCTTCTGAGCCTGACTAACTTCACTTAAAATGATGTTCCCCAGTTCCATCCATTTACCTGCGAATGACAAAATTTCATTCTTCTTTGTGACTGAATAAAATTCCATTGTGTATAAATACTACATTTTCTTAATCCATTCATCAATAGTGGGGCATTGAATAGTGCTATAATAAACATGGGTGTGCAGGTGCTTTTATTGTAGCCTAACTAACATTCCCTTGAGTATATCCTAGGACTGGTATTGCTTTATCATATGGCAACTGGTAAAAGCCTCTCCTACAATGTTCCCACCGTGACACCCTGTGTAGTGCTGTGGCATTAAGTTAAGCAAAATAAGTCAGACTCACAAAGACAGGTATCACATGGTTTCTCTCATATGTGGAAGAAAAAGAAAAAAGAATTTTTAAAAAAGAGACAGCCTTAAAGTAGCAGACAGTCAACCAAGAAGGGAAAAGAGACTGGGGGAAGTAAGAAACAGGGAAGGTTAAGATATTAGTTGAGACATAATATTTGACAAACCAACATAGCTACCAGGTATTTATCCCCATAACATGCAAACCTATCTCTGCACACAAGTCTTTAAGCAATGTTAGATCCACCTTATTTATAAATACCAAATACTGAAATCAATAGAAATGTTTCCTAGTTGGAGATTGGAAAAAAATTACTTATGATGTTCATGAAGTTGAATACTACTCTGCCCTAAAAAAGATTCCAATATTACCCAGGTGAAAATGTGTGTGGACCTTAAATAAGTAATAGATATCAAAACCAAAAACTGTACATTCTAGGATACAGTTACAGACACTCTGGAAAAGGTAAAACTGCTAAGATAAAAATACTTTACTGATACCATGGGTAGTAGGTAAGAGAAGTGAACAAAGACAAGCTTAGATATATTTGTTTAGGTGGTTCTGGTAACAGATACATGACAAACTCTAGACAAAATTCTTATAACTATAATTTTAAATGTTGAAATTACTATGTATAGATTATGCGTTAATTATAATAATTTTAAAACCAAGAAATAATAAGTAATACAAAAACATGTGCACATAGTATTTGATCAAAGTGACCATGTGTATTTACATGTCGCAAACATAATGTCTTTATGTACAAGCTCATAAACTGAAATACCAAAATTTTAGGGGAAAATGGTGGAAAGTAATAGTTAGTTTGGAAGGTTATCTTTCCAAAGGTGTTAATTCAATCAAATTTAGCATAGTGTGGTCTACACACAGGTCGTCTCAGCTTCTTGAAAGTCTGTAACAGAGGATCACTTCTGTCTTGGAAAAGAAACAAGAAACAAGACCCAGTCTCAAAACAAAACAAAGAAAGAAGTTTAAAATGCTGTTAGTACATGACAATATATTCAAATAAAATATTTCACAAACTGAAATGTGCCAACAAATCTTTGAGTTAATGATGTCTCATAAACTGGGAGCCCCATGAAAAAATAATGCTGTTTCTTTTTTCAGAAAAATTCATTCCCTGACCAGAGCTGCGATAGTACCATTGAAAATTCTAAGGATATTTATTGAGCTCTATTACAGAATTAGCAATAATGAAAGTAAAATAAAAACTATAATTAAAAATTTACAATAGTAAATATTGGTAAATGGAACCGTTTGAATGAACTGTTGAGGTGAGTTTAAATTAGTTAAGGGCTATTGAGAAAATTGTGGGCAGCTTCTTATTCAAATTTTAAAAAGCATATATCATTTGACAAAT